CACCTGGGGCAGATGGCCGCTGGTTAGGGGCTTTTCCATCACCAGCAGTTCTTTATCAGCGGAGATTTTCACAAGGCACTTCCTTATTGCTGTGTGCCCAGGGGACCACCACATGTGGGAACGAGGAATACTCTGCAGGAATGCGGAAAAGCAGCTCTAATGAACCGTTAGATGGAAATAAAAATACAAAATATGAACTAGAATGTCTGCTGTGGCTTTAAAAAAATGTGTATATATGTGTGTATGCATATGTATATGTTCATGTTTATAGAGAAAAAGCATAAAAATAACTTGGTTAGGAGCAGAATTATGCATGGTTTTAATATTATCTTACTGTATTATTTATTCTGGGCATATTTTCAGTTTTAAAAAGGAAAAACGTTTTAAGGTTTCTTAGGATTACTTTGAAGTTGGATGAAGGAACAGAACTCATGCTTGCTTATGGTAAAATTCCTATTTAGCAGCTCTCAAGTGTTTTAGCTGAAGTAATGAAAAGTCGACTGCTGTCCCCTTTCTGGCCCTAGACAAAAACATGTCACATTCATAGTTTCTAAAGTTTCTCATTACATCTGATTATTTACCAGAAAATATGGCTTGTGTGAAATAAAAAGTGTGGACACTGTTAGAATCAAAATGGAGCCACCTATGTTAAGCCCAATAAAAACAAATAAAGTTGGGAAGTTAGGAGGAAAGTGTCCTTAGCGGTAAACTTCTTGCAAGAGTCTTCTAAGACAATTCCAAAGAGATAAGTTGTACAGAAGAAAATTATGTCATTCCTGCTTCTAAAATAGTTGTAGAGGCTGTGGATATGGAAATAAACTAGCCATGTGTTCCCCCTTGAGTTGTAACATTGATTTGGTAAACTAAAGACTGCCTGAAATAAAATATATTGATCTGTCTTAATGCAAACAACATTTCTTTTGTGTGTGTCCGAGAGATGACCATCAATGACAGAGTGTCACTTGGTGTCCTTGTGGATGGTAGAGAAAAGCTTCTGCTCATATACAATGACAGACCTGTGACCCTTCCCAGACAAGGCCCTGTGACTGTCCTGGGAGCTCAGGCTTGGACTCCAGCTCAATTGTTAATGTGCTGAACAAAGAACATTTTAATGGCAACCGCTGCCCAGTCTCCGTGGCTGCTGCTGCTTCCCAGTTTCTAGGCAGTGACTAACCACCCTGTCATCAAAGGCATGGTGGGTGCTGTCTTTGCTAGGAGCTCAAAAGTCCCGACTACCTTATATTTTTCTCTCTAGCATATCACATTTGGTGAAGTAAAAACTCAACAATCACAAAGAATTCTGAGTTTGGGTTGTCAAGTTATATAAAACTTCACTGTCTTCCTCGGAGTGTGTCTCTCTCCCTTCTTTGCTTACCTGTCTCCATCCCTACCTTCCTTCCTTCATTCCTTTCTCTTTCCTTTCTTTCTTTCTCTGTAAGCATAGAAGGGCTAAAAGTAGAACTGCATTATATAAGAAATAGGTTCTGTGACATGGCCAACTCTTCTCTAATGTAATGCTGTTGAAAATGTTTGAGTTGCTTTGAAAACCACACTCAGGGGGGAATCCCCAGCGCCTATAAAACTGTACTACATAATACAATGTAAGCAACAATAAAAAAAAAAAAAAAAAAAAAAAGAAAACCACACTCAGAGATGAAATAAAACAGCTAGCCAGCCTGGACAGTGAGTTCGGTTTTGACTATCAAAGGGAGGAGAGGGAGGCATCACACACTCTTTCCATTCCTTTGTCTCCCCTGGTAACTTCTCTCCACTCCTGGCTGCGTTTGAATAGTTCTCGTTTTGTTTTGGCCGATGGTCTGGGCGCTCTGCGATTGTTTCGATACAGCATAGTAATTAAGATGAATGTTTCTGGAGCCAGGGAGTTCCAGTCCTGGTTCCCAGGCAACCTCGTACAAGTTACTCCACTTCTTTGTGGCTCAGTTTTCTTGTGATGACACCAAGTGGTTTCCTAGGGGCTGGGTGAAGGCGGTGGGAGTTAATATCCGTTATTTTACATGTTTTATATGTGCACAAAGGAAAACTCAGTTCTCATTTTCTTAAAGATGCTTTTCAGGATAGACAGCTTTCTCCTACATATACCCCTCCTCCAGGAAGGCACTAAAAGCAAAGTGTGTAAACAACTAAACACAGACCATCAGGGTCTCGGTCCGTTTACTGTGTTTATGCAAATCATAGGTCCCTCTCTCTGTGTACATAACAGACAGAGTACAAAAGAAATGTCTGGAAGGCACACAAAAGATGAACTGTGCAGGTATGGCTTTCTTCTCTCTATAAGCCTCAGCTATTCAGTTTCCTGCTATTGTTGATGCTTTCTCATGTGAATATTATATATAGTGGTGTGGTTGTAGCGAGTAGTAACCTTAAAAAAGCAAGAGAGGGGGAGAGGGAGAAAGAGGCTTTCCAAAACATTTTTATTTGAGGATAGCAGAGCACTGCAACGGGACTAGGATAGTGCTACCGTAAGCCGTGAGCACATTCAAAGAAATCAAGGCAAGGAAAAAGATTTGCAGGTAAAAAGGGTGAGGATTACACCATATGTTTTGAAACAACAGTCTTTGGTCACAACTGTGAATAATCTGGGTGATGTTGCTCCCAGGGTGAGCAGACAGGTGCTGGGCAGATTTTCTTGCAAAGGTACTTGAGAAGGTCGTAGTGGTCTCGGTAATGTGGTTCCAGCAGTCTTCCGTGGTTACTATCAGAAAACTTTCCCTAACTTCTCAGCTTTATTAATGCATTTTTTTGGTCAGGGTTGATATTGGCAACTCTATTTTGATTCTCTCACTTTCCACCCGCCCCCCCCCACACACAAGGCATATTCTCTAGTACATAAACAGTGTAATATGAAATTTTAGACTCGAAACTATGTAAGTGTACTGTGTTTAAGTCTATGGTTAGGGCCCGGCGTGGTGGTGCAAGTGGTTAAGGTCCTCACCTTGCACACCCGGGATGCCATATGGGCGCCGGTTCTAATCCCGGCAGCCCCGCTTCCCTTCCAGCTCCCTGCCTGTGGTCCGGGAAAGCAGTTGAGGACGGCCCAAAGCTTTGGGACCCTGCACCCGTGTGGGAGACCCAGAAGAGGCTCCTGGCTTCGGATCGGCATAGTATCGGCCATTGTGCTCACTTGGGGAGTGAATCATCGGACGGAAGATCTTCCTCTCTGTCTCTCCTCTCTGTATATCCGCCTTTCCAATAAAAAAAAATTTTTTTTTTTTAAAAAAGTCTATGGTTAGAAGAGGGCTATGAGTCAACTTTCCATGACTACAACTAAAATTCCTGAGAGGTGCTAGGGGTGGGGGAGGTTGTTTTGGGCTTACAGTTTTGGAGATTCACAGTCTCTGGGATCAAGCAGCCCTGTGTGTCCTGTGAGGGCCATGGATGGTGGAATGCCTGCACAGGGAGGGTCACATGCTGGTCCTTCCCATCCATGGGTCTCTATTTATAGAGCCACAGTTCCTCCCTTAGTAACAACATCCGGTCTAATCCCGTTCTGAGGCCCCATGTTCAGACATAATATTTCAGTGAAGTTTTATCTTGTCTATTAACATAAGATTCTGGAGATCAAGCCCAGTGCAACAGCCTAGTGGCTAAATCCTCACTTTGCATAAGCTGGGATCTAACATGTCCTAGCTGCTGCATTTCCCATCCAGCTCCCTGCTTGTGGCTGGGAAGGCAGTTAAGGATGGCCCAGAGCCTTGGGACCCTGCACCTGCGTAGGAGACCTGCGAAGCTCCTGGCTCCTGATCGGCTCAGCTCTGGCCATTGAGGCCACTTAGGGAGTGAATCAGCAGAAGGAAGATCTTTCTCTCTGTAAAATTGTCTTTCCAATAAAAAATAAAATAAATCTTTAGGGAAAAAAAAACACACCTTTAGGGAACACCCAAATTATTTTCCAAATCACAACAGGGGAAAATATAGAAAGGCCTTTTATATAGAAGATGAGGAGTTTGTGAAACTGTTGGAAAGGCTAAAGGAGTAGGCTCTGGGTACAGTTTATAGGAAGTTTCTAGAATCCTTCCATAAAAATCAGGAAACTCCTTGTGCAACAAGTGAGTTTAAGAACTGCCCTTGCACTGTGACTCCCTTTCCACCCCCGTGATTCTGATGCTTGAGTGCTGGGACACAGCCTGCCCACTCTGCCTTCATAGTTACTGCTCCTGGCCATCCCCAGAGCTGGAAACGGAGCCCACAGCTCTGTGACAGCAAATCACTGAACCCGCACAGCTTTGCTTGGCAGCGGGAAAGACCAGAAGAACAGGAAACAGCTTCTGCCCTTCTGCCCCCTTCCAAATCTCATGTGTCCGACTGCAGGACTCGTCGTGTATGTCTGGAATTCTGGGAACTGTAATCCTTGGCTTGCTGCCTCGGGCAGCAGTGAGGTAGGCGAAGAAGGGTAAGAAAGGAAGTTGGGTGCTCAACTAACACAACTAGTGCTCTAGCCTATGTTTTGTGTTTTAAAGATTTTTTTTTATTTTTATGGGAAAGTCAGGTATACAGAGAGGAAGATCTTCCATCTGTTGATTCATTCCCCAAGTGGCCACAACGGCTGGAACCGAACTCTGAAACCTGGAATCTGAAGCTTCTTCCAGGTCCCCACACAGGTGCAGGGTCCCAAGGCTTTGGGCCATCCTCAACTGCTTTCCCAGGCCACAAGCAGGGAGCTGGATGGGAAACGGACACAAACTGTCATCCACTTGGGATCCCGGCACATTGAAGGCAAGGACTGTAGCCACTAGGTTACCACGCCAGGTCCTGTAGCCTTTTTTTACAGAAAGCCTATCTGTGTATATTGGCATATACAATGCATTTTTTAAAAAAAAATCTTTTATTAGTCTTTTCTTCTCTAACTAATCTAGTAGAAGTTAGGTCCTACTACTGTCAGTTTTCTTCTCGAGATTTCTTTGGGTACCAGATAGCTCAAGTCTGAGATTGTGAGTAAATAGTCAATATAAGCCACCTTCATTGTTCTTGGTTTCTTTCAGATTTCCATCCATCATGACTGCCATCCGACTGCGAGAATTTGCTGACCGTCGCCCAGTGATCCCACCCAGGTAACGGGACCTCATGAGCTGAGGCCAGGCAGGCCGACTCCTGAGGATTTAGGATTTCTCTCCTCGTGACTGAGCCATTACTGCCACCCCGGTGTTCCAGGGAAGCTTCTTTGGGTTTAGGTAGAAATGCAGAGATTGGGAAGAGAGGTAGCGAGGGAATATTTGTCATCACTCCGCCTAGCGCTCCACCTACAGACCAGAACTGGCAACAAGTGCTTTTGCACCGAATTAAAAGTTTCCATTAAAATTGCCCTGTCATTATTTCTTGTTTATCCTTTTGGCATGCAGTGTGCACTCACTGGCTGCCAACAGGTGGGAAAATCGCAGAGTACATTTGGAAATGGCACTGGAGCAGGTGTTTTCCTTGGTACTAAAGACACAATTTGTGATTCTGTGTCCCACATCCGAGTGCCCGAGTTTGATTCCCAGCTCCAGCTCTGAATCCCAGCTTCCTGTCAGGGAGCTCCTGGAAGGCAGTAGTGTTGTTGGTTCAGGTAACTGGGTTCCTGTAACCCCCACATGAGACTTGTGTTGGGTCCCGCCTCCCAGCTATTACAGATGTTTGGGGAGTGAGCCAGCAGATTAGATCTTTCTACCTGGCCAACTAATTTTAAAAATCTTAAAATTAAAAAAAAAATTTTAATTTTTATTATTTTTACTAGCAAGTCAGATTTATAGTAAGGAGGAGAGACAAAAATATCTCCCATCCACTGTTTCACTCCCCAAGTAGCTACAACGGCCGAAAGCTGAGCTGATCCGAAGACAGGAGCCAGGAATCTCTTTGGGGTCTCCCACATGGATGCAGCTTTTGGGCCATCCTCTACTGCTTTCCCAGGCCACAAGCAGGGAGCTGGATGAAAAGGAGCAACCGGGACATGAACTGGTGTGCATATGGGATCCCAGCTTATGCAAGACAAGGATTTAGCCACTATGCCATTGCACTGGACCCAGCACTGCACTCTTTACAGAAAGAAAGAAAAGAAAGAAAGAAAGAAAGAAAGAAAGAAAGAAAGAAAGAAAGAAAGAAAGAAAGAAAGAAAGAAAGAAAGAAAGAAAGAAAGAAAGAAAGAAAGAAAGAAAGAGAAAGAAAGAAAGAAAGAAAGAAAGAAAGAAAGAAAGAAAGAAAGAAAGAAAGAAAGAAGGAAGGAAGGAAGGAAGGAAGGAAGGAAGGAAGGAAGGAAGGAAGGAAGGAAGAAAGAAAGAAAGAAAGAAAGAAAGAAAAACGAAAAGAAAGAAAGAAAGAAGGAAGGAAGGAAAGAAAGAAGGAAGGAAAGAAAGAAAGAAAGAAAGAAAGAAAGAAAGAAAGAAAGAAAGAAAGAAAGAAAGAAAGAAAGAAAGAAACCAAAACAAACAAACAAACCAAAAAAACCTTTACCTCTGTGGATGACTAGAGAACTGGGTCTGATTCTTGTCTCTGTCCTGGACAAGCTCATTTAATCTGAGTCTTTTTTTTTTTTTAAGATTTATTTTTATTGGAAAGGCAGATCAGATTTACAGAGAAAAGAGAAAGAGAGAGAAAGATCTTCCATGCACTGGTTCATGCCCCAAATGGCTACAACAGCTGGGGTTGAGCCAATCCAAAGCCAGGAGCCAGAAACTTCCTCTGGACTCCCACACAGGTGCAGGGTCCCAAGCCCCTCAACCACCCTCTACTGCTTTCCTAGGCCGCCAGCAGGAAGCTGGATGGGGAGTGGAACATCCAGACAGTGCCCTTATGGGATCCCAGTGCTCGCCAAGGAGAAGACTTAGTCATTGAGCCATCTCACTGGGCCCCCTCTTCTTTTTTTTTTCCCACTTTTCGAAAACTGTAAGTTACTGGGGACCAGCGCGATAGCGTAACGGTTAAAGTCCTTGCCTTGAACGCATCAGGATCCCCTTTGGGCTCTGGTTCTAATCCCAGCGGTTCTAATCTCTCTGAACTAAGGAGTGTCTCGTGTTTGACGTGTTAGCTCTGGGAGAACTTGGAAAGCTGCCTGAAAGAGCCGTAGGCAAAGTTTGCTGTCTTTTACCCCCACCTGTGACACCTGACTCTGTGTACATTGTCCCCTGCTTTCTACTCGGCCCAAAACCTGCCCAGGGGGCATGGCATGGTGCCTGCAACGTCAGCATCCCATACGGCTACTCTGCTTCTGATTCAGCCCCCAGCCAATGCAGCCATTTGGGGAGTGAAACAGCCAATGGAAGAACTCCCTCTAACTTTGCCTTTCAAATAAATTAAAATTGAAAAATAACTAAATAATAATAAATAAACAAACAAAAAAAACCCTGCCCGGGGGACTTCAGGCAGTCTGTTTGCTGGCACCAATGAGGAGCCTCCCTGTTCTCAGCATGGCTTGTTCAGGCTGCTTCCACAGAGCAGAAGTCAGTGAAGGCACCTGCTCGGTAGGTATTTGTGGGATGTACGCCAGTGAGGGACCTGTGAGGGTCAAAACGGCCTAAAGCAGACTGCAGAGCCCACCGAGAACATCCATGCATCCCCTTAGCAAGCTGGGCTGTAGCCCCAGAGTGATCCTAGGCTGTGCCTTAGCAACTGCACAGCTGCCTAAGCAAGCTACGGCTTTCATTCCTGTGTCATCATCATCTTTCTTTTAAAATCTTATTGTTTGTTTTTTATTTTTTGCATCAGTTCCTCCCCTCTTTTCTTTCTTTCTTTCTAAGATTTATTTATTTTTATTGGAACATCAGATATACAGAGGAGGAGAGACAGAGAGGAAGATCTTCCGTCCAATGATTCACTCCCCAGGTGACCACAACGGCCAGAGCTGAACCAAAGCCAGGAGCCTGGAGCCTCCTCCGGGTCTCCCATGCGGGTGCAGGGTCCCAAGGCTTTGGGCCGTCCTCGACTGCTTTCCCAGGCCACAAGCAGGGAGCTGGATGGGAAGTGGGACTGACTTGAGATTAGAACCGGCCCCCATATGGGATCCCAGCAGTGCATGCAAGGCGAGGACCATAGCCACTCAGTTCCTCCCTTATGATTTAAGCCCTCTCTTACAACTGTTATTTACTACTTAAGACTGTCCTATTATCCCAACCACAGGCAGGCCCAGACAGCCTGTGGTTTTCTGAATATCAGACTCCCAAATGTTTTCCCAGACAGACACCACCTGCTCTGTTCAGCCCAGGTCTCACATCCCAGACACACTCCACTCTGAACTCTCCTTTGTCCAGGTTTTGGCTTCCATAATTTGCTCACCTGGAATCTTTTTCCCACCCTAGTGTGCCTTCCCTAATCCTCCCTGTATCCTCTTGGCCCCTCATGGATGTCACTATTTCAGCACAAAAGGGCATTCTGAGGGCCAGACTTAGTTCTTAGTTTGTACAAGCAGAACCTAGCTGACTACAGAAAAAGAATGCTCCTTGAGCTGAGGGAATAATGTAAGTTTCTATTCACCATCCAACACAACATTCAGTGAGCTACTTAACGCAATACCGTGTGCTACTTTCTACTGACCTTCTCCTGTCCTATGACTTCTTGTTTCTTCAATCCAAAAGCAGAGAGAGCTTCCCCACCCACTGTTTCAGTACTCAAGTGCTCACAACCACCAGGGGATGTGCTTGGGCTGAAGTGGGAGCCAGAAACACAGTGCAGGTACCCCACATGGGCAGCGGGGACCCAACTAAACAGGAAGCCCGAAGTCAGGAATCAGAGCCAGGAACGGAAGCCTGTTATGGGATGCAAGTGTCTCGACACTAGGCTAAATAGCCACTCTCTCTATGAATTTGCAAGGCACTTAGTACTCAGAATGTGTGAATGATCCCAAAAGATCTACTCTCTTTACATTTTTCAAGAATAGTCTATTCACCTCCATCCACATTTCTTTCTGTCTTTTCTTATGGTGTTTACACAATTGGTTGGGGTGGGAAGGGTCAAGGACTACAGGAAAGTGGGTAAGACAACTACTTCCACACCTTCCTTCTCTTCTTTCTGTATCTAGGGGGAGGAGACAAGGGGAGAAGCCACACCCAGTATCCCATCTGCCTCAGTACCCAGAGATGGATAACAGCCACCTGATGTCATCCCAGGGTTCCCTATGTGAAGCATACTCTGAGGGTTCTGTTCTCCTTCTTCTGCTATGGTAACAGATGTCCTCTGCAGGCTCCAATGAACTGCCTAATCCTCCATGTGCATCTGGATATCACCACCTTCAGTAACTGAGGAGGCCCCACTCAGACACATGCACTCCATCGTCAGATCATAGGTCCTGCCACTCTCTCCATGGCTGGAGTTCTGAGCCCAGTGCTTCAGTTGGAGAGACACTCAAAGAAGTCTCATCTGAAGTAATCCCAGATTTGGCTCCTGTGTGTGTCCAACAGTATGGGCACTGAGTCATTCTGTCACCTACATCAGCCCTTACCACACATTGATAGTTGCAATTGTTAGGTCAGATCTATCTCCAGCTCCATCTCTTACACAAACCAATGGGTACACAGCCCAACCCTACCCACCACACACACGGCCCCCACATATAGAAGTGGGAGCTGCAGGCCAGTCAGAGTGATCCCATGCCACCCCCCTGGTCTGACCCTCAGTCCTGGTTCCTGTGCCTGCAAGCATGTGCAGTGGACTGGTCTAGTCTGTCCCACATCCCATTCAACTCTCATACACATCATTGGGCATTGAAGCCTAACTCAACCCATTCAACTTCACCCTCCAGGCCTCCCTCATGCTAGCAGGTGCTACTACCTGTCTAGCCAGGCCTTCCCCCAGTCCTGGTTCTCATGCTCACTAGTCGGAGTTGCAGCCCATCAGAGAAGTGCCCACGGCTTCCCTACTGGACCCATTCCCTATCCTGGATGTTGCACTCTTTAGGTGGTTCGGCAGTCTAGCTTGACAGGACTTGCCCCCAGTCCTAGCACTTGCCAGCTGATGCTGTAGCAAAACCTGACCAAACTGCACTTTACTTTGGCTCGTGCTAGCACCAGTGGACACAGTGGTTGGTTAGCCCAGCCTGGCTCTCCCCCTAATACAACTTACATGCAAGCAAACAGGAGTTGCAGCTCTGCCTGGCCTGGTCTCTCCCAGTCCCATCTCTCATGCTCAGTAGCAGGAGCAGTGGCACAGCAGGGGAGTCCCTCTATCTTCCCTACCAGGCTCCCACCCAGCCTCCCACCCAGCCCCCACTGAGACCATCCAGGCCTGCTGAGGTCTTGACCACTCCTTCAGGTGGGCGGCACCAGCATTGCCCACCCATTTCCTAATTAATTCAGAGACTACCAATGGGGAACATCTCACCTGTAGGTTCCCCGCCCAACAAGGAGGGGTCAAGGAAGGCTTAAAACTCCAAGACCCTTCCTCAAACCTTTGGTGTCTCTCTCCCTCCTCTTTCGAGAGGCACCCCACCTCCCGGCTTTCTCTCTGGAGGTGCTTCCCCTTCCCTCTTCCTTCCCTGCTCCCCTGGTCCCTTCGCAAATAACTTTTCTGTTTGCAACAGATTCCCAGCTTTTTATTTCTATACTAAGCTGAGGAAAGAACCCACCAGGCATTTCTGGTAACACCCACCGAGTCCCGCACAATCTGGTGGGTGCTGGGATCCTATCTGGCATGGCCCGCCTTACCTTAGCATGTGCAGACAGGGACTGTAGCCTGGCCTGGCCCGCCCTACCACCAGTTCCAGCTCACACTGGTAGGTGCTGCCACCCAACCTGAGCTAGCCAGCCCCCAGTTCCAGCCCAAATGTGAACTACCTGGTACTATGGCCAGACCCAGTCCTTCCCATACCCATCCTGGTTCTCAGATCTGCCAGTGGGTGTTATGAACTGGCCCAGCTTGGCCCACCCCCAGACCTGATCCACATGTATGCTGGTGGGTACTTTAAACTGGCTTGGTTTGGGCTGCTCCTTGTCTTGGTTCTTGCACTCAGCTGCAGGGACTACGTCCTGACAAAGGAGTGTCCCAAGCTCCTCAATCAGGTCTCCTCCCAGTGGCAGATCTTGCTCACATCGGTGGGTCCTTAGCCTGGGCTGACTTAGTCCTCCTCCTCTCTGGCAGGAACAGTGGTCTTGCCAAACCAGCCCACACCCGTTCCAGTTCGTACTGTACCAGCCATACCTGGCACACGCTCAAAGAGCTCTCAAGTGATTCAGTGGGAGCCAAGACCTAGCCCAGCCCATTCTACATCCACCCTAGCTCTCAGGAGTACCAGTGGGTGTTGGAATCAAGGCCAGTTTGGCGCACCCTGACCCAGGCCACATCCATGCTGAGGGACACTGCAGCCATGTCCAGCCCAGATCGCTACCCCCATTCTGGCCCTTCGCGTTCACCAGTGGGAACCACAACCCAACCAGGGTGTGCCCTTAGTGCCCCACCCAGGCCTATTCCCAGCCCCTGATCTTGTGTGTGCCAGTGGTAGCTCTGACCAGCTCGGCATGGCCCTGCCCCTCTTAGCGTTTGCCAGGTCCATCTACATTTCCATCACACAGTTCACTCAAATCCTTATCACATCCCGCATAAAGTACTAGAGTCCCTTCCTAACGAGGCTTCTTACCTCTAGTCAGATGGCGCTCACATTTGCTTTCCACTTTGCTATCTTATGTCCTTATTCTCCTTTAAAATAGTTTCTTGTCACCATCAACATCTCCTTTTACTTTTTTAAAAAACATCCCATGTCATAGTTACAAACATTGTATAGTATCTTTGCTACTCTTTCAAAATCAAATCTGTAAATATTATAGTCCAACTACCCAGAAGTTCCTCTCCCAAGCTTACAAGTGCTTCATGCTTTGGCTTCATAGTGTTGCTTTATTTTTAGTCCCTTTATACTTAATACAGGTTTTTAAATTATTTTGAATTATTACAGGTTAATATATTGTATTTGAAAGAGAGAAGCAGCATACAATGAAATCTTTCTCATATGCTGGTTTATTCCCCAGATGTCCTGAACAGCCAGGACCCGACAGGCAAGACCAAAGTCAGGAGCTGGGAACTCAACGCAGGTTATACGGATGGCCAGGACCCAAGCACTTGCTCCTGCTGCCCGCCAGGGTGCCCGCCAGGGTGCCCGCCCAGCAGCAGGAAGTTGGAATCGGGAGCAGAGCTGGGACTGACCCCCGGCACTCTGATCCTAAAGTCCATCCTAAATAGACTTTGAAACTGTGTCAAATACTGGCCCCCTTTTTGACAGTTGACAAAAAGTGTGAAATTTTGTAAACGTATCAAAGGAAAAAAGCGTAATGAGCATCTATTTGCTCACACCTACATTTCAGCAGCTATCACATGCACCTCATTGGTTTTACATATCTTATTTCTTTTTTCCCTATTTAAAAAATCTTATTAATTTTTATTGGGAAGTCAGATATACAGAGAGGAGAAAAGACAGGAAAAATCTGCTGATTCATCCCCCAAGTAGCTGCAATGCCCAGAGCTCTGCCCATCTGAAGCTAGGAGCCAGGAGCCAGGAGCCCCTTCCGTCTCCCACATGGGTGCAGCACAGTCTCAAGACTTTGCGCCATCCTCAACTGCTTTCCTAGGCCACAAGCAGGGCTGCTGAGTTAAGAACTGGCACAAATATGGTATTCCGGTGCATGCAAGGTAAGGATTTTATCCACTAGGCTACTGTGCCAGGCCCTTTCCCTATTTTTGAACCAAATACCTGACACATTAAATGCAAGTCCTGAAAATAAATAATATTTTTATTACAGATGCCGGAGGGTGTACAGGGTAGAGGTAGGTCTGGAAATGCCATAAATGCTGGTGTGGCAGAAGACCATCATCATCAATTTCAGACCACAGCCAAGCGCTTATTGCCAGGAACCCCAGTTCCCCAAAGACCGAATCTATTCTTTGTTATGCACAGCTGGTTTTCTGTAAGGAACTAGTTGTAGTCATTGTTTTTTCTTTTTTAAGATTTATTTATTTTTATTAGAAAGTCAGATTTGCAGATAGGAGAGACAAAGATCTTCCATTTACTGGCTCACTCCTCAAGTGACCGCAACGGCTGGAGCTGACCTGATCTGAAGCCAGTAGTCAGGAGCTTCTTCTGGGTTTCCCACGTGGGTGCAGGGTCCCAACATTTTGGGCCGTCTTCTATTGCTTTCCAGGCCACAAACAGGGAGCTGGATGGGAAGTGGAGCAGCCAGGATATGAACCAGTGCCCACATGGGACCCCAGCACATAAAAGACTTCACTAGGCTAACACGCTGGGTCCAGTCATTGCTTTTTCTTACCATCTTGTTTTCTCCGCTAGTTTATTCATTGCCCGTCAAGGAAAGGATCTCCAAGGCTATTACCCTGGGCAACTAGCAAGATGTCACATTGCTCATGGTGTGAAGAAAGCTTCCAGGTGAGACACAGCCCTGGATCTAAATTCTCTGGATGGTCACCAAGGCAACAATGCTAAGAAGCAGGGGAGTGTGGGGGACAGGGAGAGGACACATTTTACTTATTTATTTTTTAAAGATTTATTTTTATTGCAAAGTCAGATATACAGAGAGGAGGAGAGATAGAGAGGAAGATCTTCCATCCAATTATTCACTCCCCAAGTGAGTGCAACAGTCGGTGCTATGCCGGTCCGAAGTCGGAAACCAGGAACCTCTTCCGGGTCTCCCACACGGGTGCAGGTTCCCAAAGCTTTGGGCCGTCCTCGACTGCTTTCCCAGGCCACAGGCAGGGAGCTGGATGGGAAGTGGAGCTGCTGGGATTAAAACCAGTGCCCATATGGGATCCCAGAGCATTCAAGACGAGGACTTTAGCCACTAGGCCATGCTGCCGGGCCCGGACACAGCATTTTAACACTATTAATGATTACAACAGTAACAACAAGCATCATTTCATAAATAGGAAAGAAGCTTGGAAGCTGCTAACAGTGTTTTTCTTTTCTTTTTTTTTTTTAAGATTTATTTTTATTATTATTTTTTTATTGGAAAGGCGGATATACAGAGAGGAGAGACAGAGAGGAAGATCTTCCGTCCGATGATTCACTCCCCAAGTGAGCGCAACGAGCTGATACTATGCCGATCCGAAGCCAGGAGCCTCTTCCGGGTCTCCCACGCGGGTGCAGGTTCCCAAAGCTTTGGGCTGTCCTCGACTGCTTTCCCAGTCCACAAGCAGGGAGCTGGAAGGGAAGCGGGGCTGCCAAGATAGAACCGGCGCCGATATGGGATCCCGGGCGTGCAAGGCGAGGACCTTTAACCACTTGCACCACCGCGCCGGGCCCTAACAGTGTTTTTCTAATGATGATAATATCATTAGTATTTTGTATTTCATTCTTAGTTCTTCCTCTATACTGTCCAGATTTTCTGTAATGAGCAGACCTAAGTACAAAATTTTATGAAATAAAGCAGTTTAAGAAGCACCCTGTGTTTAGAATTTCAACTTGTCAAATAACCTCATCTTCCAAATACTTTGAGTGAAATAATGACATCTCCAGGTGCAGTGTTTTTTTTTTTTTAAAGATTTATTTTTATTATTTTTTCATTGGAAAGGCAGATATACAGAGAGGAGAGACAGAGAGGAAGATCTTCCGTCCGATGATTCACTCCCCAAGTGAGCGCAACGGGCCGATACTATGCCGATCCGAAGCCAGGAGCCTCTTCCGGGTCTCCCACACGGGTGCAGGTTCCCAAAGCTTTGGGCCGTCCTCGACTGCTTTCCCAGGCCACAGGCAGGGAGCTGGAAGGGAAGCGGGGCTGCCGGGATTAGAACCGGCGCCGATATGGGATCCCGGGCGTGCAAGGCGAGGACCTTTAACCACTTGCGCCACCTCTCTGGGCCCTCCAGGTGCAGTGTTAACAAAAAGAGAACAGGAATGAAAATGCAGGCGCCCTGACATTATCTATTTTCAAGTTTAGGGTCACTGAAAACCACAGGAGTTAAAAAGCACCAACTCGGATAACTTATGAAATGTTCGATCTTGGCCAATTTTTATTAATAAAAATAATTGATGTAAGATGCCAGAACATGGTAAACATCCAACATAAGATTTAGCTATTCCAAAACCTCATCTACTAATGTTCACATCTAGTGCCCCTTTTGAAGCACATATAGTAATAATTTTCACACCCATAGCAACTTGGCTCTCACATTTTTTTTATTTTTAAAATGTAGAACATTAGGGGCCCCGCAACATGGCCTAGCGGTTAAAGTCCTCGCCTTGAACATGCCAGGATCCCATATGGGCGCTGGTTCTAATCCCGGCAGCTCCACTTCCCATCCAGCTCCCTGCTTGTGGCCTGGGAAAGCAGTCAAGGACGGCCCAAAGCCTTGGGACCCTGCACCCGTGTGGGAGACCCAAAAGAGGTTGCTGGTTCCCGGCTTCGGATCGGCGCAGCACCGGCTGTTGCGCTCACTTGGGGAGTGAATTATCAGACGGAAGATCTTCCTCTCTGTGTCACTCAACCTCTCTGTATATCTGACTTTGTAATAAAAATGAATAAATCTTTTTCTAAAAAGTGGAACTTTTAGAAAACATTTATAATCAAAAATGAAAGTGAATCATTATCTCATCCAGAGATAATCATACAGAATCGGATCTATTCCAAAATACTATGTGACAGCATTTTAAAATCTCTTTTTGTGGCAACAGTTTTAATGAAATAATTCATATACCATACTATTTATCCACTTGAGTGTTTAACTCAACTGAAGCTTTTGTCTTTGTTTTTTTTTCTGTTTTGTTTTGTTTTTTTAAAGATTTATTTTATTTACTGGAAAGTCAGATATACAGAGAGGAGAGACAGAGAGGAAGATCTTCCGTCCAATGATTCACTCCCCAAGTGACCACAATGGCCAATGCTATGATGATCCGAAGCCAGGAGCCTCTTCCAGGTCTCCCGCGCGGGTGCAGGGTCCCAAGGCTTTGGGCCGTCCTCGACTGCTTTCCCGGGCCACAGGCAGGGAGCTGGAAGGGAAGCGGGGCTGCCGGGATTAGAACCGGCGCCCACATGGGATCCCAGGCGTTCAAGGCGAGGTCGTTAGCTGCTAGGCCACACTGCCAGGCCCAACTGAAGCTTTTGTTTAAATTTAAGACTACACTTGAACTTCCTCAATTTCAAAAGCTATAGTCCTACAATATCACCTTTGGAGGTGGTGTGTTATTCTTGTCTTATTTTCGTATCCTTGTCTAAATATTTCCACATTTTCCTTACATGAAAGTTGTTTCCACTCTTTATTATCATAATACTTTCAGAAGCCTTCTTATAGCTAAGTCTTTTTTTGATATTGCTAATTTCTGGAATTGCTGGGATAAGCTACAAATGCTTTTTCAAGGCCTTAATACTCATCACCAAAATGTTCTCAAATTGTGCCATGAATGTATAGGAGTTTATGACATCCATCAAAACACAAAGATTCCCCTTTTGGCTAGTCTGGCCAAAAGAAATGTATTGGTTTCTTGGAAGAATTATGATGGGCCAGGACACCGGGGGGATACAGGCTACGGGGACGTAGCTATGCAGGATGCAGTGAACACCTCTGTGATCTGTGAAGAGAGGACCAAGTTCCCTGGGCAGTGTGTTAGTGCCAGCTTTTATCAGCCTTGTGGCCACTTCCCAGAAATGAATTTCAGCTGAGGAAATGGACCGCTTTCCTTACAGTGGGTGTTCACACAGCTATTTCTGTTTCCACTTAGACCACTCATAGACTTGGCCATGCCTCCTCCCAAGAGACAAAGTCCACATCACCCTCAACTAGACCAACAAACACTCATTCGATATATTTGCTTTCGAAGACATTCAAGACCTGCTGAACCATGGTATAAAGAAACCACTTACCAAAGAGACTATTCTCTGCCATTTTACAAGCTTGGTAAGTAGGCTGGCTGCAGTGTCCCCGTCAGCATGTCCCTCAGGCCTGTATCCCGAGCACCAGGTTTGGAACATGTGAGTCTGCCAGAGTGAGGGTCTTTGTATAGGTTACACCTCTGTGTGCTGCAATACGTGCAAGAGGACAGAGGGGACTAAAGCACCTGAGGGAACCCCGGGATGTGCATGGAACACCTATCCCAGTAGTCTTCATGTCCCTAGAGTCCCGGGGCTTTGATCTGTTAAGTGAATGCCTTCAGCATGCACCACTCAACTCTTGAGTGTCCTTCCGGCTCTCAGAGGCAAGTGCAATTATTGTACCCACTTTACAGCAGGAGGAGGCCCAGCTGCCGACACAGCTCAGCTACCAGTCCCACAGCCCACCGTGTGGAGATGGGGAAGCAGACCACAGACCCAGGCTGTGGAGCTCCCTGTCACCTGCACCACTGTTTAACAGTTCACTCTAAAGCAGGTCACTTTTCCCAAAGGAATAAAGAAAAAGGCCAATAAAGACAGGAAAACTAACATAAATCAGGAGGAGGAGGGTGAAGTGGAAAGGTCTGCTTTCCTTCTTTTTACCTCCCTGGGCTGTAGAAGGGTGGGACATCAGAGCAGAGCCAAGCAGGAGGGCACAGATGAAGTCAGTGTGGGGGTGCCACTGGTTCACAGGAAGGGGTATAGGTTAAAAGCTCACAAGCAGGGCAAAGCTGGGTTCCAGAAGCCGAGAGAACATTGATCCCCGAGAAGGGAGGATGCTTAATCCCCTGTGTGACAGTGCCAGCCCCTGGGGTGATATATTTTCTCCCTCATGTTTTCTGTGGGTTAAGGATTCAAGAACTGTTCAACTGGGCAACTTGGGCCTGGAGTATCTCTTGGGGATGCAGTCAGATGTCAGATGTCACCTGTAGGTTGGACTGCGGATGCAGAACCCACCCCTCACGCAGCTCACGCACATGGTTAAGCTGATGCTAGAATCTTCTCAGCAAAGTTGTTGGAATGTCCTCAGACCACAGAAGTTAACTCCCTAACGAGAAACAAGCCTAGACAGAAACAGCAGCGGCTTTCCAAAAGTCATGTAGTATCACTTCTGATGTATCCTCTCCACCCTAGGACAATATGGGGGAGAAGCACAGAGGGCATGGATCCCAAGGGACAGAAAGCACAGGGGTCCATCTTGAAAAGTGGCACCTGTAGCCTGCCAAGTGTCCATGATGGCCTAAACATGGTGTTATCCTGGGGACCAGTGATGAGGATAAAGAAGACCCAACTCTGGCAGAGCTGGTGGTGTGATGGAAGATGCAGAATAAGCACAACCTTATTAAAACACTGTAGATCGTGCCAGGGCTCCAAGGGAGAGGAACAGAAGGGAGAAGGTACTTTGAACAGAACAGCTGGGGAAAACATCTATGTAATTATTATTCACTGTACTGTGAAGAGTAAAAATGACAGTAAATTCTAAAGCTTGGAATCTGAAAGGGATTGAGTTACTAAGGAACAGAAGAAAGGAAGCCAGGGATGAGTGTTGGGGAACAGCACGTTAAGCTGCTGCCTGCAAATCTGCATCCTATATGGACAAGAGTTCAAGACCCGGCTGCTCCACTTCCCATCCAGCTCCCTGCTTGTGGTCTGGGAAAGTAGTCAAGGATGGCCCAAGTACCACTCATGTGGAAGACCTGGATGAAGCTCCTAGCTCCTAGCTTCCATCTGACCAAATCCCAGTGGTTGCAGCCACTTGAGAAGTGAACCAGGGAATGGAAATTATCTCCACGTGTTGTCTTATGTCTGTCTGCCTCTCTGTGTCACTCTGCCTTTCAAATAAAGAAAAAGAAAGGAAGTTATTGTTGTTTGGTGGATAGTGAGTGAGGGTAAGAATGATGCAATGATTGGATGTCACTGAAAGAGCAAGGGGAAGACACTGAAGCAGATTAAATACAAGAATGATGTGCTACTTATTCTCCGAACTGTCACCAGCTTGCTGTTCAGCTTCACTGGAAACTAGTTAGTGGTGGCCAGGATCAGCAGGGAAGATGAAGAGGGATAAACAGATTCCACAGATGTTCTTCATGTGAAATCAGTTAGACTTGGTGACAGAATTGACGGTAGGCACATTTTCACTCTTTCATACTTATCCCTCAGTAAATACTCTGAGAGCCCACTTCAGTGCCTGCTGATGCAGTAGGTTTTGACAGTAACAGATGAAACAAAAAAACAAAGTTTCCACGGTCCAGGAGCTTCACAGATATCATCTCACAATTCCACCTGCCACGGACGCTACAAAGCCTGTCTTCCCATTAACAGTAGATGGCATATCTAAATGAGTAGGGATTTGCATTTAACATTCAACTCTGAGGTTTTTTTGACTTGGAGACTAAAGATAGACTCTAAAGGGCTGGGTGCAGTGACTCAATGGCTAAATCCTCACCTTGCAAGCACCGAGATCCCATGTACGTGCCAGTGCATATCCTGGGAGCTCCATTTCCCATCCAGCTCCCTGCTTGTGGCCTGGAAAAGCAGTTGAGGATGGCTGAGGGCTTGGGACCCTGAACCCATGTGGGGGACCCGGAAAACGTTCCTGACTTTGGATCAGCTCAGCTCTGGCAACTGTGGCCATTTGGGGAATGAACTAGCAGATGGAAAATTTTTCTGTCTGTTCTCTTTCTATAAATCTGATCTGCCTTTATAATAAAAATAAATCTTTATTAAAAAGAGAGTAATCATAAGACGCTCTTACTGTTGCTTTAGTTAAATTTCTTTCTCAGCACATATCAGTTCACTTATCTATTTAAGAAGCATTTATTAGGGATCAGTGCAGTAGTATAGCGGCTGAAGTCCTCATCTTGCATGCTGGGATCCCATATGGATGCCGGTTCTAATCCCAGTGGCCCCGCTTCCCACCCAGCTCCCTGCTTGTGGCCTGGGAAAGCAGTCGAGGACGGCCCAAAGCCTTAGGACCCTGCACCTGCATGGGAGACTGGAAAAAGCTCCTGGCTCTTGGTTTTTGGCTTTGGCTCAGCTCAGCTCAGCTCCAGCCATTGCGGGCTCTTTGGGAGTGAATCAAAGGACGGAAAATCTTTCTCTGTCTGACTTTGCAATAAAAATAAATAAATCTTTTTTTTTAAAAAAAAGAAAACATTTATTAAACACCAACTGTGTGCAGGACACACAGAGGATCCATAGATGACTGACCTCAGAGAACCTGAAAAGCCTGGCAGGATCAGACTCCCCACAGAGCCAAGCTTCTCCTGCCCAATTCATTTGATGTTAAATACTTCAAACAAACACAAGGAATCTTCAACAGATGCTTGCAGAATGCATGCTATGAAAAAACTATGCAGCATTATCAAAGAATTATTTGCATCAAAACAGACTACTTAATTCCTATTTTTTTAAGACATTTTTATTTGAAAGGCCTAAAGGTTACAGAGAAGGAGACACAGAGAAAGAGAAAGATCTTTCGTCCACTGGTTCAATCAATAAAATGATCACAATGGCTGAAGCTGGGAGTCATAAGATTTTTCCAGGTCTCCCATATGGGTACAGGGGCCCAAGGCCTTGGGCCATCTTTTGGTGCATCCCATTAGCCATTAGCAAGGAGCTGGTTCAGAAGGGGACACAAACCAGAACCACATGGGATGCTGAAGCCACAATCAGAGGCTTAGCTTACAACGCCACAGCATGAGTCCCTTACTTTCACTTTTCATACTCTTTTTGAAGTAATCCCATATGAGCTTTTAGTAGCAGTGTGACCCTTAGGCTCTGTGAACTTCAACTTTCAATCTATAAAATGAATAAAAATAATATCTAAAAGTAAAGATATCCATATAAAGGATTTAAGCATTTTGCTTATACCCATCAACAATTAAGTCTTCAAAAAGTTAGACATTGTTATGGATCAAGAATAAACACATGGCATAATAAGTATTTGTAAACAAACTAATATAATGGGATTGCATCTTATACTGAGACCAGGTTCTAAAACCAACACATAGAGCAAAATAAATAAGTAAATAAAATTAAAATGACAATGTAAGTTATCCTTAAAAAAAATCTCTTAAATTGCTAGTGATAATAAATGCTCTCAGATTATTAAAGTACTCGGAATATATGAAGTTCTGTTTTGTTACAATATTATCAATGAAATCCTCTGGTCTTTGGCCCATTGATCCATGACAATATTCATTTTGAACCTTCTTGAACTTTATCTTTGGATGAGCAGTATTATTAGTGAATGCTGGTAAGAAGTGGTGAGAGATAAAGAAATCTAAAGGGTCTGACTTTTGGGATAATAGCCATTGCAGTTTGATACAAAGACAATACAAATAGCTGTTCATATAGGATTAAAATGGTTTGGGGATCTTAAATCCCATAAATTCTTTTATTATTGTGCACAATTACTCAAAAATTATGATAAAACTAAGGGGAAAATGGTCTTAAAATAAATCATTAATTTGTTTTAAATTTCAGATTGGGACCAGAAATTGACAACGATTTCACTGAATCCGCAGCCACTTAATTTGCCACCAGAGCTCTACATTTGTGAAGAGAGATGTGGCTTTGAAAGAAATGCTTTAAAATGAAGATAACCATGGAATTTGAACAAAAAACATGTGGTGGTATCTTAGAAAAAAACTGGGAGAATAAAGTAACAACACCCATTTGGGTCATGCACGGAGTCCCTCCTTGAGGGCTCTCTGGCCCTTCGTTCAAGGGACTCGGGTTCAACACACTGGCTCAAGGCTGGAACTGACCGAGGGGCCAGGGCTGTCTGTTCTTATGATCTGAGCTGGGCTTTTGTTTCACTTGATCTACATCTATACGGGCTAAGTAAGAATCAGGGAGACATCCTATCTATTTCATTCCTAGAAACATCATGATTAACCAGCCAGTGCTGTAAGTCTTTACGAGTCAAGACTATTTTGATTGCTATTGTAACCCCGTCACCAATCCTGTCCACACTTAGCAGGTGGAGTAATCTCCAATTATTCCCACTGCATTTATGTTTTCTGGTTGAGTGGTGGTGGTTGCCCATCTAAGTTTGGTTCTAGCAAGAAGAACCACCAGGGGGCTCTTCAAGGATCCTGTTGCTTCTCTCACAGTTCTCCTTCGAAGGATCGGTGAAAGGTGTCTTCTGAACCCTCAGTGTGCTGCAGGTTCCAAATGACCAGATCTTGTAACACCCTTACTCAAGCAACATTAAATGCAGAAACTCCTCTTTGTGAGCCCCTATCAACAAGTTATTCAGATCCAACTTTCAATTTTCCTTCTAGCACTATGCCACACTCTTACATCCATTTCTATATACGTTCTTATGTTCTCCAGATTTCTGACTGTAGAAATTGGAAAACTTAGGGCCAGCATAGTGACATAGTGTACCAATCCTCCATCTGCAGTGCCAGCATGCCACATGGGCATCAGTGAAAGTCCCAAAGCTCCACTTTGATCGGCTCCCTGCTAATGATCTGAGCAAGCAGCAGAGGATAGTCCAAGGCTTTGGAGCCCTGCATCCAAGTGGAAGCTGGCTCCCAGGTCTTCAAGCCAGGTCAGCTCTGGCCATCGCCAACATCTGGGAAGTGAACCAGCAATGGAAGATCTCTCTTTGTAACTCTTTCAATTAAATAAGTCTTAAAAAAACAAAAACAAAAACAAAGCACCTCAAATAGCTTTTTTGCAGTATAGTTTACCTCTTTATAAGTCACACAATACCACATTAGCTAGCACATGAGGCTAGTGTTACTTCTAGAAGCAAAGAAAGGTGGCCAGGATGAATACTAAGAGCAATCAGCAGGTGTGCTCGCACAATAACTGTTCAGAGAAGCTGTTACCATCTTCTCAGAGAAATGTTCGGTCAATGCCCTCAGAGAGAGCTGGATAAACAGATAATAACTGGGGGTGTGAAGAGCGCCTATCAACAGGGATGGAGACACCACAACCACTTGGTGGCAGGAAAACCACTGGCAAGAGTCACTAAATTAAGGAGGTCAGGGCTGGCGTGGTGGCACATTAGGCTAATCCTCCAGTCTATGATGCAGGCATCCCATATGGATGCCAGTTCGTGTCCCAGCCACCCTGACTGATGCAGCTCCCTACTTAGGCCTGGAAAGCAACAGAGGATGGTTCAAGTCCTTTGCCTCCCTGCAGTCATATGAGAGCCTAGAAGATCCTGGCTCCCAGCTTCAGACGAGCTTAGTTCTGGCCATTTGAGGGGAGCAAACCAAACGATGGAAGATCTCTCCTCTCTTTGTAAAAACTAACAAGCAGGGCCCAGTAGCATGGCCTTGAACACACCAGCATCCCATATGTGTACCAGTTCTAATCCCGGCAGATCCACTTCCCATCCAGCTCCCTGCTTGTGGCCTGGGAAAGCAGTCGACAATGGCCCAAAGCCTTGGGACCCTGCACCTGCATAGGAGACCCAGAAGAACTCCTGGCTCCTGGCCTCAGATTGGCACAGCACTGGCCATTGCGCTCACTTGGGGAGTGAATCATCAGATGGAAGATCTTCTTCTCTATATCTCCCCTCCTCTCTATATATCTGACTTTGTAATAAAAATAAAAATCTTAGAAAAAAAACAAGCAAGCAAACAAATTCTGCCTTTCAAATAAAATTGTTTGCAAAAATTAAGGCACTCATGTCCTCAACTTTATCAGGATCTTCTTCTATACATTTCAGTTGGAAATTTATAAAATTTCATTTTTTCCTAATTAATGCCCTCACTTTAAACAGCAGATGCCTTGCACAGCTGGGAATGTTACATTCCTTATAATTTAGCCATCATTAGCAATTCAGAACGGTTGAACCATCAAAACCGTTTGAGCAGGACCCTCAGTGCATGCCCCATATCGGGGACCTGGGATGGGTGGGAGGCTGGGTGGGGCTTTTCCCTTTGTTTTTCCCCTGACCCCAGATACAGGGGAAAATGATGATATTACTGTGGAAACAACTGTCTTACCCACTTTCCTGTAGCCCTTGACTCTTTGTACCCTAACCAACTATGTAAGGTTATTAAAAAAAAATCCAAGAAAAAAGAAATTGTTCTGAAATATTTTAGAAACATCTACCATGTTGTAAAAGGGCATATCCTATCGCTATCTTCATTGCATTTGTGTCTTGTCTTTAATTTGAAGAACCCAAATGATAAAAAAAATTCTAGCTTCTAAGAAAATCCCTTTATTGAAATTCATTTGTATATTTAATCAATAAATAAATGGTTATCGCAAAAAAAAAAAAAAAGAGAGAGAGACAGAAATATATCTACTGACTCACTCCCCAAATGCACACGATAGCTGGGGTTGGGCCATGCTGAAGCCATAAGCTCCAGTCCCCAGCTGGGTCTCATGTGGGTCACAGGAAACAATTACTAGCTGCCTTTCAGGATGTGCATTACCAAGAAGCTGGAAGTGGCAGTGGAATCAACAATCAAACACAGGAAGTCATTATGGAAGGTTTCCCAAGCCGTGTCTATGCTACACACTTTGAAATAAATAAATAAATGATTACAAAATCAGTATTATCCTACTCCAGAGCCAGAGAGAGAGAAACACGGACAAAAGTACCAAGTGCTCGTAGTGGCCAGGTTTAGGGCCAAAGTGAGGCTCTGAGATTGCAGTCCAGTCTCCCATGAGTGGCAGAAACCTTAGTACTCGAGTCATCACTGCTGCTTCCCAGAGCCTAGACTGTCAGGAAGCTAGAAGCAGGAGCTAGAGAGAGGGACTGAACCCAGGACTCTAATGCGGATTATGGGAGTCCAAACCACCAGGCCAAACAGCCATTCCTCTGATTTTTTTTTTTAATGTAACCTTTTCCCATGGGAGATGCCATTTTTAGATATCTCTGAAGATGTCACACATGCTTGCTTTTATTTCTAAAACGTCTGTTTTCCTTTTTTATTTTTTTTTCCAGTAACAATGCCATATTTTTTTCCCCTTTTTATTATAGTGGCTTTATTTTAACAGCTGGTGAGGAAAACATTTATTTCCTTTTCAAAAACACCTTGGAAACGTATCATTCTCTCTTACACCTAACAGAAAACAGACGGATAACATTAGCCCTTTCTCCACAGAATCACCTTGCCCTGCCTTCCAGTTTCCTTCTGAGTTTTGAAATTTGGAGACATGGTTTTTGTTTTAGTCATTTTCCTGTGTTCTCATTTTAGCTTGCAATCTTCTATTAATCTACTACCAATCTCATCAGCCTCATCAGTGCCTCCCTCTCTCTGTTCAGGGGCTCTAACTTGCTAAAGTCTTCTTAGCCTCTGGGCCTTTGCCATTATGTTCCTGCCTGACTACTCATTCACTTGGCCTGTTAAAACATTTCCACCAAAGCCTTCTTGGATCCTTTCCATGCATAGATTCTCCTTGGCTGTACCCTGAACTTTTCCACAGTAGCACATAACAACATTTATAAGATATATTTAGGAGCCAGCATTGTGGTGCAGGAAGTTAAGCCAATGCCCACAACACCAGCATCCCATATAAGAGCACCAACTCAAGTTTCAGCTGTTTTGCTCACATTACAACTCCTCATTACTGTATCTAGAAAAACAGCACAAGACGGCTCAGGTGCTTGGGTCCTTGTCACCCACTTGGGAGACTGAGATGGAACATGTCCAGCCCAGCCCAGTCTGGCCCAGTCCCTGCTATAGTAGTTATTTGGGGAGTGAATAGACCGATGGAAGATCTTCTGTCTCTCCTTCTCTGTCAATAACTCCACCTTTCAAATAAATAAATATGATCTTTAAAAAAATTACATGTTTTACAAGCTGTATCCATTAAAGAAGATTGTATATTTCCTTCCCCGTCACCACTGTATACTCAGGATTTAACAGATTCTGATACGTGCCAAATATTGTTCTGATTATACTGTATACATGCATTAAAACACATTGTGTTCTACAAATACATATCATCAGCATTTGTTATTTTTTAAAAGTACAAAACTTGAGCCTGGTACAATGACTTAGTGACTAAATCCTTTCCTTGCATGCATCAGGATCTCATGTGGGCACCAGTTCATGTCCCACCTGCTCCACTTCCCATCCAGTTCCCTGCTTGTGGCCTTAGAGAGCAGTAGAGGACAGCCCAAAGCCTTGGGACTCAGCCCAGGTGGGAGACCCGGAGGAAGCTCCTGGCTCCTGGCTCTGGCCACTGTGGCCATTTTGGGAATGAACCAGCGGACAGAAGATCTTTTGTTTGTTTCTCCTCTCTGTATATCTGGCTTTTCAATTAAAAAAAAAAATCTTTTTTTTTTTTTTTAAAGATTTATTTTTATTATTTTTTCATTGGAAAGGCAGATATACAGAGAGGAGAGACAGAGAGGAAGATCTTCCGTCCGATGATTCACTCCCCAAGTGAGTGCAACGGGCCGATACTATGCCGATCCGAAGCCAGGAGCCTCTTCCGGGTCTCCCACGCAGGTGCAGGTTCCCAAAGCTTTGGGCTGTCCTCGACTGCCCCCCCAGGCCACAGGCAGGGAGCTGGAAGGGAAGCGGGGCTGCCGGGATTAGAACCGGCGCCCATATGGGATCCCCGGCGTGCAAGGTGAAGACCTTTAACCACTTGCGCCACCGCGCCGGGCCCAAAAAAAAAAAAATCTTTTAAAAAAATCAGAAAGCTTGAAAGATAAAGACTGCTATTATCTGAAGAACAGATCACTGCTTAACCATTAGCTAACTCACTTGAAAAGACAAAGTATCACTCAAACTGGCTGAAAATGAAATGTTCATACTATCAGTGAGACCTTTTTAAAAAACAAATAAGAGAACTCCTATTTGGAAAAGAAAATTGTTCTTTTTATTTGCCTTTGGACCCTTACTAATAAAGTTTCAATAATGCAATGGCTATAGCCAAGATGAGAATATGGACTTTAAAACATAAAAGTGATTTAGGGGCCTGGCGGCGTGGCCTAGCTGCTAAAGTCCTCACCTTGAACACGCCGGGATCACATATGGATGCTGGTTCTAATCTCGGCGGCCCCGCTTCCCATCCAGCTCCCTGCTTGTGGCCTGGGAAAGCAGTCGAGGACAGCCCAAAGCTTTGGGACCCTGCACCCGTGTGGGAGACCTGGAAGAGGCTCCTGGATCCTGGTTTC